TCGCGTGCTCCAATGTATACCAAGGAGTACTTGGATCACAAGTAAAGGTGTCTTTACATGGGGAGCATGAAGCGTCGAGCGTTAAAGCGGTAGCCAATCAACGTACTACTTTCCGCAAGAACTACAAGTATACTTCTGGAATCTGATACGTTGATTGGTTAACGCTTTAACGCTCGACGCTGGGACGCTCCTATGTATTAGCACTTTAAAGCGGCACATGGTGCTTGTTTTCGTGCTGGATGGAAAAACTCTATTTTGACTGTTACTTTGTTATATAACAAAGTAACAATTACATAATATACCATATGATTAAGCTAACATTGTAATATGGATGATACTTTGTGTTTACTAGGAATTTTTGGCTGGTTTATCTGATAAAATACCATAAAGTATTCGATTAATCGGATATAAAAATTCATAGATATTTTAATCGGAAATACCCGTTTGTTAATTTTTTTATTGAATAATTTTTCTCAGTGTGTGTGTAGTGATAGTTTATAATATCATTATATTAATACCGCATACAGTCCTTTAAAGAAATGAATTAACGTTCCCAGTTGCCAAAGACGTTGATAACACAAGACTCGATCCACAATGTGTTAAGCGCTTAAGTTTCAAGCTTGTTGGGATATTTAAATCTTGAAGTGGACAACGTCGACTTATGATGTCAAAGTATCTCGTATTCAAATACAAACGATAGAAAATGTTCCCTACTGTAGTCTATACTCATACTACTTGCATTCGCATGCAGATTAATAATAATAATCTGTGTTGCAGGAGCCCACCAAAACAGTTGGACTCCCCTACGACGCTTTCAGTACGTCGTGGCTCTACAATCACGGTTATGCCCCTATTGGACCCGACGGCAGGGTGATAGAACACCCCCGAAGTGGCACTGGCTAAGGCCAAGCACTTAACCGTGTCTGCTCAAAGCGCTAATTGACGACCCGAGGAAATATCCGTGTATCGATCACAAGTTTGCCTAAGTTTCGAAACCGTCTCAGCCTGATCGGCGAAAGAACGTGTGCGGAGGAACACTCGTTCCGTGTCACTCTGTATGGATCTGATGTGAGGAGGAAGTTCTACTAATAAATGCATCATGTTTCAAACGTCTTGACGACTATATATCACGCAACTCATTCTTTCCGTTACATCTATAATGCTTTAGTCTTTATTAAATAACCAAGGTCGACATAGACGTTCATCATGCATTGGATCAACATACTTTATGATTTTGAGGGCTTCCCGCGTCATAGCTAAGGTCCCGTCTCTAGTTTTGTGTCCGCCTATGAACCCAGTTGCGTGTACAAATATGGCGCCTTCGATTCCGCAAGCTGCCACGAGCGTGTCATCACGTAAGCCCCACCATTTATTAGGAAGGTCAAATCTACATCTGTGATCAGTGTATCTTGACGGTACAGCTTGGACTCGATTCTCGCCTTTTCTCGAGTAAATGACAAACTTTATTGATGGTATTAATGTCAGTTCTTCCTCTAATGTAAATAGATGCTCCTCCCACGGTACTGGTTCCGACAATTCTATTATCTCTCCGCTTGGGTCAACCTTCAAGATACATTTTCTTTTTCAAGTTTCAACGATCAATCGGGAATTCACCTGACGTGTGAATAAAGGAGAAAATCATTGTCTCACCGTAAATCGATTGGCCACGGCGTTTCGCACAACTTCCTTTGCTGGTAGCCAGATTTTCTCAGCGCGAGTCACAAAATTCATAAATACATCAAGTACCAAAGCCATGGCTTTCTCAAATTGTCCCTCCTCATTCATATTTGTACTATTCCAAGGAGGATTCAGGTGTTTCACTTGAGAACTCAAGTTAGTACATGTGGAATACCTGTAGTAAACAAAAGTGTCGTATGTCAGAAAACAGACGCGATATAGATATGAATAGTACAGATATGATACCTACAATTGCTTTCCACCCGAGTATGTATCTATATCATTAATTTCCACAATTAAAGTATCATAGATATATTTAAAGATCGCTTCAATGTCTTCGTCCTTTACTTCTGGAAATAGATTCCTCAGTATTTCATGGCCAAAATGACAGTAAATCAAGCCAGCACTGCTCAACTTGATAAGGTCGTCGTAATTTGGATTCTTCAGCACAGTGTGTAATGTTTGGCGAAATTCTCTAACGCAAAAGAAGAATAATAACATATTATGGGGATACTGAAGCTGAAAATCTGACTGATGCAGACTGGTGTAATAAGTTAGCACCAACTCAAATAGTTAAGCTAAGAAGAACAGACCTAAGGTAAAACAAAGCAACACACGTAAGATCTTGTGTATACAAGAAACACGAAAAGGATAGCGCGATTGTGTTAGTGACGATCGTTTCTACGTCATAGATATTGTTCAAATTTGTAAAGGACTTTCAGCATTCTCTTTAGAAGGTATTACAATATAGAATACATTACCTCATATGATGGTCGTATCTATGGGCGGAATGATCATACACTCCACCAACATCCACTACAATGTCACATTTGTCTAAGATATCTTGATCTCGAGATCTAAGAATATAACATAACACACATAGATATTATAAGTCAATTCTTCCTGAGTCAATTGCTACTTTCTTTCTTTTTCTTTGTCTTCATTATGGTTTATCCTTTAATATTATAAGTCCTCTTTAGAATACACTTAATATAATCGTGATATACTACTTTCATTTATAAGTCGTAAAATAATTTACCTCACTATGGTAGCATTCATATATTGTGGCAATAGCTTTAAAAGCACACAGGCAAACACCTCATTGCAATGGAAAACACCATTATGAGTACCAATTTTCACCTTCTTATCCATGTTCTCTGACATTTTGCGTAAAAAAGAATAAAATACTGAGGTTTCTTGAATAGGTGACTTGATGTAATTGAGAAATCTATAAAAAGCACCTTTTAACAGATGATATATTTTATTAGTTGACTAAAAATCACTGAAATATTAAGTCATTATATTAAATTATGCCTCCTATTGCTACAACGAACGAGATATGAATATTATTTGTACTCTATCAATGTAATAATTCATTCTTACCTGATGTGCGATAAACCATGTGGTATAACAGATGCACTGTGTAATTGTCGATATGAAAATATATAGTTGCAGCAAAGTTTACCTAACCTGTTCTCGTGCACGAGAATTAAAGGGTTATATTATAGTTTTTTTTTTTAATTTAGTGAAGACTTTTTGGAGCTAATTTTTTTTAAAGGACTCTGATTAGTCAATTTTCTTATATATAGTGTATTATACCTTTATTATACAAGAGTGTGTGCTTCCCGCTTTACAGGTTCGGAATAGAAGTTAAAAGAATTGGTAGGTTAAAAGAAACAATAGGTCTGTTCTTTTGTCTGCACTGCTGCAATAAGTTAGAGTGAGATATATATATATTTGTCTCACTCTAACTTATTGCACCAGTGCAGCAGTGCAGAGCGAAAGAACAGACCACAGGACTGCGTTCAACATAGAATGGCTGCGTCCAGAAAACATAAGGTTTGCTCGCGCCGCGTGTTCCAATGTACACCAAGGAATACTTGGATCACGAGTAAAGGTGTCTTTACATGGGAGCATCAAGCGTCGAGCATTAAAGCGGTAGCCAATCAACGTACCACTTTCCGCAAGAACTACAAGTATACTTCTGGAATCTGATACGTTGATTGGTTAACGCTTTAACGCTCGACGCTGGGACGCTCCCATGTATTGGCACCTTAAAGCGGCACATGGTACTTGTATTTGTGCTGGATTGCTTGCTGGATGGAAATACTCTATTTTGATTGGTATATTTTCATCCATCTTCAGAAATGCACCAATCAACAAGCAATCCAGGATGAAAACAAGCACCATGTGTCGCTGGCTTTAGATGACGGTTGGAGCAAATGAAGTCATGTGCACCAACGCTCAGTGACGCGAACAGACTTGAGCACTTTCTGGCACTTCCGACTTTCGCTTCTTTTTCAGCAACATGTAGCAGCATGGATCTATTACAGTTTTTTTTTGCTTTTTTCCGCTTTATATTAAATGAAATGACAATTTTTTCGCTGAAAATTTTGTGCCTTTGGCAGCTATTAATGATTTATTTGATGATGCGAACGACAACGAAATAGAGAGTGAGTACTGATGAAGAATGTTCTAATCTTATTTGATCTATCTCTAATAAAAATTAATTTAATTTAAAAAATTATAAATGAAGTAGTATTTTTGGGATGTGCCATCATAATGTTTTAATTGGTTTAGTTATCAAGTTCTCTTGCTGCAGACTGTTACAAAAAAAAGATCAATAATGTAGTATATATTTTTGTATAATACAATTTCTAATTTCAAGAAAATGTGAAACTTATACAATGGTAAAGATAATATTAGTTATTATACAGATAATAATTTTTAAAATAAAAATTGTTGCAAAAAAATATATATATATATATATATATATATATATATATATATATATATATATATA